GCGGTGGGGTTACGTTGATGGTCACTCGGATTAGCCCTTGCTGTACTGAGCTACCGCCTGCAGTGCCTTATCGCCGGCTGGTGTCAACAACGAGAACACAAACACCCTGTCTACACCAAAACTACAAGCGTTCACCGCACACGCGTCGCCGCCGCTTTTAAGCTTTTGTGAAATTGCTTTCTTCTGCCGCGGAGAACCCCCTTATCTTAACTACGCGCCTCAAATCCTTCCAGGCGGGCGTACACAATATCAAGCGTTTCGAGAAATGCCCGTGGAGTAGAACTATGGGAAAATTCGGAGCCCGCGATGTCGATATCGTCGCCGTTGTGTTCGTACGCCGTCGCGTACTGCAGTCCCCCGTTGGGGGAGGGGGGGGGGGGGCGGTCTTACTACGATAACATGGCGACAGCGTTTACACTCTATGTATTTACGCGAGGCTCGAGTATTTGGGGATAATGCTGCCGGTTGGTGTGCCCCTTTGTGCCTGATATTATCGCCCGTGACGCCAGCGAGTGAGATGGCGACAGGCATGACTGCTCAGTAAACAGGCGTCGGCGGCCATGTTTTGCTGGTTGAAGCGAACCCCCTTGTCCTTGACAGCGAGCGGGGAAATGCGAAAAAGAGATTGTATCGGCCGTTTTGCCAGAACTAGCGACGAGTGTCGTCTGCGGTTTCCGGCAACTATTTTGCCATAATCGTGAGCTTAGCGAGGAAATGATTTTTGCTAGCCACAGAACACTACCACGCAGAAAGGGAATGCTTGAACATGTTTTTGTTCTGGATATATATCAGGGATATATATGAGAGAGAGAGAGAGAGAGAGATGAAGGTAGAGCGGAAGAGGGAATAGCATATAGTGTCGCAGGAGAATAAAGTAAACAAAGTTCCTAGTGGCCGATGGCTGCATGATCTTTTCTCGGATCACTAGTCCGTAATATGATACCTCTTTGTACACAGTAGTTTCTCCTTAATTTAAGTGTGTGAACGATTACTTTAGTTATCATTGGCCTCATCTGAATAAAAATATATAAAAGATGTGTGTTGGTTTCATGAAACTGGAACTCAGAGTCAGTTCTTGTATAAAACACTGCTAAGTGTAGGCTTTGAAAAAGGACCCTACTTTGGGGAGTTGTATCTTCTTTCTCAATAAAATGATGCAACATGTTTTTAATGGAAATGAAAGCCGAAACAGAGTATAACAGGTTACCTAAATTTAAAAAAAAATCGAGGGTGGTGTTTTTTTTTTTTTTTTTATTTGCATCGGAATTTTTCTTTGTTTGATTTTTTTTCCATGTTTGACTAAATATATCCTAACTATTGTATCACACAGATACCTTAGTTATTTTTTAAATATTAGCTATATATTAGTAGAATAATATCTGCAAATTATATCATAATGATTAAATTATTTCATGAGATACAGACCTCCAAAGTTTGCCATTTCTCGTTCGAGCAGGCATGTTTGTCAATTTTTAGAAAAATAAATAAATTTTAAATAAATATGATTACTTTGTATTACAAGCAAGCTATACCCATAGTTTGCGCCTAAAACGTATTAGAGTTCTCCTGATGTTATCGCTTTAGTTATTCACTCTCAAACGTGCCCCCTCCATCAGTGCGCGTTAATGCAACTGTCCACCACCTCATGCATTACGATTTTTCCTGTCCCCAAGTATTTTTTCTAGTCAAAACTAAGTTTGGATTCGTTCATACCAGACACTAGACAATAACATATAAAAACATCAGTTGATTTGAAAATGTCGACTAGCCATCCTTTGGTCGATCTTATCTGAAATCACCCAACTGTCAAAGCCTGACGATAGCAAGAGCAGAAGCGGCCGTAGCTTTGCAGTACCGCGCCCGCTTCACACTAGGGGGTACATTTCAGCGCACAGCTGTTTTAGGTAAAATCCTGGTGGAGAGTCGAGACTGTGTCTTTTAGTGCTCACTTGAAGCATTTGACAACACCAGCCCGGCACTTCTTGCTCTCACAATCTTTCACGCCCTCCCCCCCCCCCCCCCCCCCCCCCCCAAACTACAACTCCCTACGACCTCGCCTTTTGTTAAGACTCCCCACCTGATTGTGCTCCTCCATGTGGTTATGAATGAGCGTGACGACCGCTTTAAACAATCAGAAGGTTGGAGGGAAACGCATGACTTCTCTCCGTAGGACGCGTAGGGAAAAACGCTTGGACGAACATTTGTCATGGGACTCGCTCTGACGCGCTGATATGATCACTGGGGCCCCAGTCTTCGCCGCCTGCGAAGTTATGGAGATAGCAAAGGGGCCACGTAGGTTCGGTTTCCGAAATGGACAACTCAGTGTTCTGCAGCTTTTTTTGCGGTCGCGGTCGCCGTTTTTCGTCGTAAACAGCCGAAATACGTTCGTGCCAACTTTTCGGTAATGGCCGCTTTCTTCGTTGCAGTCCATTGAAGCGTGCTGTGTTTGTTAGACTTGGTTCCATAAAAAGACTGCTCTTCGGCGACAGCTAGACTTTCGCTAAATATGGGAGACCTCCTTCTTTCTCGATCTTTTGTTTGTGTTGCTCTGCGCTGCCTGAGCCAGATTATCCATCCATTAGAAATTACATGGTATTATATTGCTCTTTTATTAGTAAGTACACTTCAAGCATGCTTCTGATAGTAGTCCTGCTTTATCATAATCCCCTTAGTTAATCTTGTTTGATTTACGAATTTCGCTTGGCATGAAAGCCTTGTCGATTATTTTTAATAATTTTCTTTTCGTTTTGCAGAGAAGTTCGACTTTTGAAAATGTGTCGAGAATAAGCTGTGTGGAATTATAGTGGTTTAATCAACTTCTGGGAGCGATCAAAGACAATTTTGTTTGTTCATGTGTTATTCGCACGATACTGCGCCAATACTAGGCCGGTGGCGGAACGACGGCGCGAAAATACTGGCACGACACTGCCATGTATGGCCGTATTGCCTGGAAACGGAGATGATGACATCTGACCGTCGTGTTTCAAATGATTATTTAATTTAATTTCATTCTCGAGCGCGTGGAAGGGCAGTTTTGTAGCACACCAGAAAAATGCCAAACTTCGGTAAGCCTCTCGGCTTTCTTAGTCACTTTTGGCACATTTTCGGCACTCCAGTAGCTAGACAGAGAAAAGCCAAATTTCGGCACGCCCCGAATTCCTAAATTAATATTTACTTTGGCAGTTATGACTGAATTATGACACTTACTTAGGCACTCCTGTGGCAGGCCAGAGGAAAGTGAAATGTTGGCATGTACGAAATCTCAAAATTAGGTCTTACTTTCACAGTTATGGCTCACTTATGGCACTTACTTTGGCACTCCCGTGGCGGACCCGAGAAAAGCCAAACTTTGGCATGCCCTGGTATTGCCCAACTAGGGCTACACTTCAGAAATATACTTTGGCACTGATAAGCGCCATAGAACAAAGCATATCTGGGACCAAGTTAGGCCCTCAGATTTGCCACACGTTTGCCCCAGTTGGGTGTTTCTCTGGCGTGCTACCTGATGTAGGGTTCGGATCGTCGGCATGTCTGATAATTACCCGCAATATGTTAAATAACTTTCTAGACATTGAAAATAAATATGATTTCATTTAAAATTATGCTTAGCATCATTGAAAAAAACAAAATCTTAATAGGTGAAATATAAACAATGTGGAACACGTGAGAAACGCGGTGGTTTCAAAAGTTAGCAGTTGTGAAACAAGCACAAGCATTGCACCTGCTGCACCGGTGACAACGTAAGAGAACCGCCATGCTTCTCCACGAGCTTTATCAAAATCTTTCTGAAAATATTTGACTCAGTGCTTTTTAATGACGTCCAGCAAGTTTCTATCCTCTTGGTTGGTACGTTACGTTTAGTTTCATTTACACACTTAACTAACAAAGTTGCTTTACTTATTCCTATGGTGACGATTAGCCCCCGATATCATGCGTCATTTTCTGTATAACTCACCTTAACAGATAGCATTTGTATAGCTTTGACGGCTTTGTAAAAACAAGCTACAAAACTTACACATTCCTATTGTGCGATTGTATTTTTATAACCTCATCAAAAAATAAAATGCATAAAGCAGATGCGGTTTTCGAGTGTTGTCTTACTGATTTCATACATTCCTTAATGTTTAGATAATGCATAGCTATATCACCACACTTTATTGTGAGACCAAACGTGGGACATATTCTAAAATATTGTATTTATTATTCTAAATGCAAACATAGTTCTGCATAACAAAGATAAAGCACGAATAAATGTATTGCTAAAGTGTGAAGACGTTAATACCCAACATTGTAATCGTTTTACGCTCATATATAAATAAACGTTCAAAAATATGAATGAATAGGCGAGCACTGCATCGTCTAATGTTTAAAAAAGTTGAGAAATGCATTAATGTCAAAGGAGAGAAAAGATAATATCTAGCTGCTTTTTTCGACTGATATCGTTCATATAATATGCGTCAAGAAGGGGATAGAAAACCGATAGGCCGGAGTACGAAACCAAAGAATACGTACAAAAATATTCATTATGGTCCAAAGAAATACTTATTGTACTGTCTTAATTTCTATTTAAGGTCCAAAGTTTGCGTGATACTTAAGCATCGATTGTGGAGTAAACGCACAAATAGGCATGCTGCGGGCAATTAAGACAATTAATCTAGTAATGCCATCATAATTGCTGTGATATATTCCTCTCAACTCTTAACAATTCATGCCTGAGTCAAGACAGACCCACTACATACAGTATTGCGTTGCGCTGCACGAGGTAATATCATGCTTGCGGCTTTTAATCTCCTAATTGAGAAAAACAAACAAATTTAATTTTTAATATATATATATATATATATATTACTGTAAGCGAACGCAAAAAACGGCTGACACACAATCTTTTGCAAGGCTAATTTGAGATGTGCAAGAATTAAAATGTATTTTTTTTTATTTCTTAACGCGATCCTTTTTGGCTCTTGAATGAAAATATACTTGCTACACTCATCTTTACTTACCACGTAACTGTAGTTCATGGCCGCCATTATTGTAGAAACCATTTCGTTCTTCAGAATTGTATAGTAGGCAGTGCCCTGGTAGAAATCTCCTGAGTTCATGAACAAGGCACCGGGGTGTTTCTCCTTGAGTTGTTTTACCTGTAGACAGATTAACAAAATGCTCCAGATTAACCCAGCTACAGTGATAAACTATGGCGATGAGAAGACTTTTTTTTTATTTGTTGTATACCGGGTTTTTCAGCGAAGATTGTCAAAACTCGTTCAAAATAATCCGTTAAGTAAAACAAACACACTTTACGTGAAACAATGCCATCAACGGCGATTGGTTTGATAGAATAAACAAATGTTTAAAAAATAAAAAAAAATTCAAAAACGATGGTTTCAAAATTAAATTTTTTTATTTGCTTCATTTTAATCCCAATTTTTTCAATAAACTTCTCAAGCTGTGCACTCCGGCCCAGTGGCCTGCTAGAGAGTATTACGTAAGAATAGAACTGTCAAAATGAACGCCCCCTTGAGATCATGCACGAGGGAGAAGCAGCGCTCAGTAATCCAATTTGCGGGTACAGAGAGCGAAAAACCTACGGATATCCATCGCAAAATATAGAAGCACTGTAGTTACGCCCTTACGCCACTTCGACAGGTGCGCGACTAGCGCAAGAAACTCCCAACCTACTGGCACGTCTCGCTCCGGCAGGGCTAACACTTCGATGACGGCTCATTCAGTACCATACGTTCGATTACTTTTGCATGACAAGTGGCTTGTCACCATCAATAAAATTACAAAAAAATCAAACATCAGAAGTGATAGGTGCATGTCATCATTCTCGATATTCTGCAGTGCCATAAAGTATCCGCCAGGTGCGTGCCAAGCAACATTACGCCAAAGATTAGGGAGCGCCATGTGGATGAGTGCGAGACGCTGCTCCAACGCTATGAAGCTGAGGGAGATCTGTTTTCACGCATTGTTACAGGGGACGACTCTTGAATCAGCTATGCACCGCCAGATATAAAGCCCGCATGAAAAGAGCGGCTGCATACTTCGTCACCAAGATTTCAATAAAGTTCCGAATGGTTCCGTCGTACGGCAAGTTTATGTTCACCGCCTTCTGCGATCATAAGTACTAATGGTCATACATTTGATTTGAAAGGTGTTCAACGTCAGCAGAACATTGCATTGTGGACTGCACGAGAACCGCTTCAACTTCGTGGTGGACTCACAACTTAAGTTGTGAGTACGCCACTTCTTTGTCTATTTCTTTGTCCCATTTTTCTTCGGCACTTCCGTCCAACGATGTATGAACTAGCCCATCTTTCAATCTGAATACATTTTATTCCTTCTGCAACGGGTTCTTTTGCGTGTACTAAGAATAATCCATATCAGGGGACTCGGATGTCACTCTTACTGCGACCTCAGATTGCCGGGATCGGCACCACTCCCATGGCATCCGTCGGGGAAACTATCATCCGAATGTCTTTAGAGGCTTCTTGCCTTACCCGGACATGCAAAACGGATTTGGAAATTTTTAGATCGAAAGTGTAGAAGCAAGTGGAAAGGAACCGAGACTGTATCAGTATTTGGGATCCCAAACAAGTCTTTTTGCAAGAGAAGCTGGGAAGGCGTACAAGGAAGATCTGCGACTGGCTTGCCAAACCCTGGAGTTCATGTGGGCACAACTAAGAGTTTCTTTGCCAAAGAAGAAAAAGCAAGTGTACCGTCTCCCAAAAAGGTTCTCGTCTTGGGAAGAGTGCAGGCCCCCAGGAAAATTACCGATGTCCTCGAACTTGGACCGAAGTTCAGCCTCCAGCCCACTTCAATACCCATCGCGAAGCTCTGCCTGGCGAGAACCCTCGCGGTCAAAACAACATCAACTCAAGCTCCTCACGGCTGATAAGAGGAAGGGATTCGTAGTCCTTCCAGAGGGGCTCCTTTGTGAAAGGTCCCACACTGCCATCATCAAAAACTCCAAACAAATGCACAAGATCTCTCTCAGCGAAGTCAAGGCGTCGGCCAAGGCCGAATGTGATAGCCTGCAGCTCAGCCAGCTTGTGAAGATACAAGCTGCCAAAAAACTCACCATAGGTGTGTTTTGTTGTGCCAAGACCCACAAAGAAAACTGCCCGTTTAGGACAACAGTAACAGAAAGATACGTGGTAGAAAAAAGGGAGGAGTTCCTAAGGGGGGATTTCCTAAGTAGGAAGTTTTCGGGTCTTGATTTGCACGACCCATTTTTCGAGGAATTCAGAGGCATTCATTGATCGTCTGGTGACGAGCAACAGGACTTCGGCAGAGGCTTTTTTTATGGACGTGGAGGACCTTTTTTCATTCCACTCAGCATGATAAGCTTTACCCAGCGGTGAGAAAGTTCATTGAATAAAATGATAATATCAGCTTAGAAATTCAAGCGCTGTAGGTGAGGAATTCTTCATCGAGCTGCTTGAGTGCTATCTCAAATCTACCTTCGTGTATTTTAGGGATAGTTTTTACGCTCAAAGGTGAGGGATTTGTATCGGCTAATCTAAGGCGCCTGTAAACTACGATATTTTTTTAGCTCAGTATTATAAGGCAATAAGCAATGGACATTGTACGGATGGGGAACTTCACAATTTGTTGTTATGTAGAAGATAACTTGGTGCTCGATGCGAAGTCTGTTAAAGTTGACATAGTAATAAACAAAGATGTACAAACTGTACCCCCTCTAATTCACATGGCGTTCACTCATAAAACCATGACAACGGCAAGGCTGCAGCTTTTAAATTTAAGCCTTTACCTCAGAAGTGACAATGTGGGCTGGAATTTTCAACCGCGAACAAAGAAAGGGGTCCAGCTGTTCACTTCTGCTCATTCTAAACTTGTAAAAAGGGGCAGAGTGTCGTGCCTAATGAGTGCCTCGCTGGCAGAGTCTTGCCACCATGTCGCGGAAGAGAGCTTTTGGGGGGAGGTGAACTGTCTTAAGCGAGGAGGATACGCCGATCAGTTTTTTTAGGCGAGGTAGCGGATACCCTTGTTTCTAAGCTGAAAAAAGAGAGGACACAATGGCTCTAGCTAGGAAAAAACGAGACCGGCGATAATCCCGTACATTCATAATCTCGAATGACGAAAGTAATCCCTGCAGAAGGGGAACAAGGGGGACAAAAGACAAACATAAATCTCCAAACACAGCTAGGTGACTGGTGAGCGACCGAAAAAATCCGCCTGGTCCGGGTATCGAACCCGGGACCTCTCCATTACAAGTGGAGCGCTCTACCAACTGAGCTAACCAGGGGTCAGACGTCAGTAGAGCAAACGGGTTTTATCCGCTGCCACCAGTCGAACACCAACAGGGTGGAGCTTGCAATTTTAAGGTTATAATTATAATGCAATTAAATGCAAAGGTGCAAGCGAGCTGGACAAGAATGACTTTCGTCATTCTTGTCCCGCTCGCTTGTACCTTTGCATTTAATTGCATTATAATTCATAATCTGTTCCACAATTGAAAAAAGATATGGCATCATACTTTGAGGTGCTGCTATTCCTTTCTGCAACAAATAATCGGTTTAGTATAAGTTCAAATATAAATAAACAATATGTGCCAAGCTGTGCCACAAGGAGGACACAAGCGGTTCGTAGACTTTGCCGTATCTGTGGTGTACGACATTCCCATGAGTTGTGGAAAATCATATGTCGGGCACACGGGTATATGTATTAAAGAGAGGGCAAGAGAACAGGCATGGTCATTAAGACAGCCCCCATCGGGCACTATGGCAGTGCACTGCGATAGGTGCCTATTCAACCCTGAACTAAGAAGAACAATTCTCGACAGTTACGAAGACAAAACCGCCCGATAAGTTTCTAAGGCATTGTGCATTAGGCAGCAAGGATAGGGCACGTGTGTTAGTTCCCTGTCAACACACCGGAGAGATAAAGAGCGTCTCTTTCTATGCGAGCAGCGAAATAGGCAATATTAAATGTATGTGTGTGTGTGTGTTTTTTTAAAATAAACCTTTAGTTGGGAGTATGCCACATCTTTGTCTTCGTATTCGTCCCTGTTTCTTTGGCGCTTTCGTCCTACAACTTCAAGTTTGCTATGAGGTCAAAACGCAGTGATTTGTTGACCTCTGGTGTGTTGCCGCAGAACCACAATGCGCGATCTCATACCGCACCCGCCATGATTGAAAAACGTCGTCTGTACGTTTTGTGGGTGTTCGGATCCGCCATTTTCAAAGGACCTAGCACCGAGTGACTTTCGTTTGTTCAGGCTCCTCAAAGCATTTATCGGCGGTATGTTGTTTTGTACAGAGGAGGAGCAAAAACCGGCGTGCATCGTGTCTTCGGTGTCACGAGTAAAGATTTCATATTCAATAAAATTTCAGAACAAACTAAGTACCATTACATGATACTTTATCAAAATGCAATAAAAAGACGGGACACGTTTCTAGAAAGAAGTAACTACGTCGTTACTTTGTTAAAGAACAAAAATACTAGATCAGAGTAACCCGCGCCTGAAAAGAGTGACGTACATGGCTGGATAGAGCCATACCTTTGCCACAATCCTTGCGACTCCACCAACACATTTTGATTCATTCTTTTGCTTCTCCGAGCATTGTCCCCCATGCTTGTTGGTCTCTTCAATGTGCGAGTGAACGTCGTTTGTGTGCAGAATCGTAAGTTCAAATGGCTCGTTGTCCGAACCTAACGTCACGCTCACATTCCACGCCAGGAGAATTGCGAACAACCGCCATTTCTTTAGAACGGCAAGCTTCTCAGCAGCCTCCTGCATAGAGAAAACAAGGGAAAGAGTTTGTGATATCCTACAAAGCAACTCTTAAAAAAATGATCTATTTCGCAGTATATTGGAGGAGGTGGTTATATCAAGAAGCCGGGCACTTGCAATTACATATGATCAGTAAGTATAGCTCCAGTATCTGCATCCTCTTGCTCAATTATATAAGGAAGCGAACGGACAAAGGACACGTTTACATTAATTTATTTACGGTGCCTTCAAAACATCTCCGACTTGTCTTTTTAGCGTCCTATTCCGACCTTGCATCTAAAAGTAGTCCCGAAGTGGCAATAAATGACGCCACGGAAGCCGGAACGGCTTACTGTCGTATGTTGCAATTATTAATGCCCAAAGACTGAAACACCCTAAAACATTATTTCCCAAAAACCGAAAGACCCTAAGAATATATTTTTAATAAATCTTTTGGAAAAAAACTAATTGGAGTATGGTACAATTCAGCAAATTTATTGGCTTACCACGACCTTAAAAAATTACTTTGAAAGCGACAGCATGTTACAACTTTAATCATAAAAGAACGTACACCTTGACAAAAGAACGATACCTCTTTGGGTATATGCAAAAATATCATGATCTACACTGCCTCCAAAGCAGTAGGTTAGTCTTAGCTGGTTTCGCTAGACAGTTAAATGACATTTAACTAGCTCAAAGTTTTCTTCAGGTTGAGGTTCCAGTGCACGTTCACAAATTTGCGCACACGTTCACACGTGAGCTGGTACGCTCAGTTTATTACGTACGTCTTCAAATCGAGACTAGCTCCATTCACAAGTGGCAGACGACGGGGGAATGTGCAAAAGCTGACACGCCAGGGATGCGAATGGTTGATTAGTACAGGGTCATTGCCACCAGGTGGACGGTTACAGATGCATACTCTCAGAGTGCATCATTGGACCAAAAATTAGAGATGTCCTATATTCTGCGCCATTTGAGAGCAATTTTCCTAAGTTAAGCGAAAGGTTTTCCCCTTGCTGGGAGATCAAGTCAAATCTCTCCGCAATATCAGCTTAATCCAAATGCTTATATTTGTGTTTTGGGCATATCAAGTTTGTATTCACATAGATGGATCGCAAAAAAAACTTCGCTCCTGCTGATAATATCGGTTACTCGAACCTCTTCTTCGCGTGTCAAAGCGCTTGCCGACAACCTCCTGATCACTTTTATTTTTGTGGAATGCAGAATTTCAGGGACGTCCAACGGCGAGGCTTGGTCAGAGTCCGTGCCATTTATTTGCATATTTATTTATTTGATCACTACTAAAGAACCCGCAGAAGGAATACATAGATGGGGGTATCATATGAAGCATGTAAACAATATAACGCATACAATCAGTGTACAACAAAAATAACATAAACATTTCAATTATGTAATGATGCATATGGCAAAGTAAATGGGCGTCACAGGCTCCAAACAGCTTCGCAAAGCTTTCCAGAATTTATCTTCAAAAACAGCATGCGAAACTGATTCGTGCACCTTCCCATTATCCAGGACAACGGTCTCCGGCAGTCTTCTATTCCAGAGCAAGCTGGGAAGCAAGAGGGAAACACCACTCTATCTTGTTGTGCTGAATAACTTAAAAGTCATGAAAGACCGAAACAAAACAAGACTACTTCCTATTATTTGAAACCCTCAGATCTCTAGACGCTGTTTTAGCGTTGGGGCTGATAAGTTAAAGAAAAAAACCAGAGAACGCGAGTGTCGGTGTTGGCGCGGCTTCTCAACTCCTGGCTGACGGAGATCCCCTGGACTGTCGACTGGAGAGCGAGCTGCAGCCGAAGAGGCAGTGGCGTACCAACTTGTCTGAGTGGGGGGCAAACCACATCCCACACCCTCCCCCCCAAGGTTGGGGGGTGGTGCCCGTGGTAACTCTTGGGCGCCGACGGACAGTGCTTGCCTTGCCCAGTGCGGCTGTTTCAGGGGGGGGGGGGGGGGGCAAAACACATGCCTCGCCCCCCCATTCTGAGAACTGGAGGGGGGGGGGGCAAGCGCCCCCCTTGCCCCCCCCCCCCTGCCGTTTGGTGCGCCCATGCGAAGAGGCATTTGCCTCATTAACCCCCGCTTCTGTGACACCGTCAGAATCACGGCCGGCGACGCCATCACACTTGTATGACGACATCAGGTGAAAATCGACGGAGCACTTCTTTGGGCGCGGTAAACACACGAGTCGAAGACACCTTCCAAGCACAGTAGTTGTGATGGCGGCTTCTGAAATATTGTTCGTGAGACCTCAATCCTGTGTATCAATTATGAAAACGGACGAGAAAAATATTGATCACAAATTTCTACCACACCACCCTATTTTCGGTGCCCACGAGATTTGCACTGTACAGTTAAAATTGTCAGCGGGCAATGACTTCCTTTGGCCTTTTCTGAGTGCTAAAAACTGCCTCCCCCATGAACTTCGATTTTCAAATAATTTTAGTCAAACTCTAAAACACTACACTTTGCTTTCTTAAATCACTTTTACCCTCATTACCATCATTCTTGTTTCGTAAAATTAGCATGTTATATAATCATATTTTGTACATTCATTTTTTGTAGTATCTCCGCATTCTTTCTTTTCTACCTAAGTTGCTTTGGCATAAAGCAATGCAAAGCGAAATTCTTGCATTGCGTAATGCCACAGCGCATACTTAATTTTGAGGTCTAAACAGATGTTCTGCATCATCATTCACTGAGCTGGTTTCGTAGATCGCAGAGAATGTCTCTTCTTGTGTTGTGTGGGTAAGTAGGCACGCAGGCATTTCTTAGAGAGTAGATTTCATTTTTGTTGTAAATACTGGGCGCAGTGTCCGCAAATTTCTATACGTTATATAGGGTATATTTTCCTAATAAGTTATAGATAAGTTTAAGTACTGAACTACGAATACGGTCCTGAATGTGATGCATACTAAAACTTTTTTTTCTGCAAAGCAGCTTGATGCGAATATTTCCCAAGATATTTGCCAATCTACATTCCTAGATATCTGAAGTTATCTACTAATTTTAATGTCGTTCTTATAGAGACAATGACAGGGTGTTTATGCTCGCCGAAGGCATCACCTATAAGAGCCCAACTACACGGAACATAATTTGCGACTCCAATCCCGCTTTTGTTTCGCCCGAAAACAGCCGGTCCAGAATTGGTCGGTTTCAGTCGCTCTCACTCTTTTTTTCATGGCCACGTAGCGTTCAAACTATGTCTACCAAATATACTCAAAGTCGTCGGTCATCTAAACCAAGCATTCAATTTTAAAAATAGAAAATATTACGATCCCCCCTAGTGTGGCCTCCAAAAACTGCAAATATGTTGATTGAAAAAAGAAAAATGTTGCACAGTTCAGAGGATGTTTGTGTCCACGTCACTCTCAATATGGCCACGTACCGCGGTCTGGACGACACGATGACGGCGCAAAACGGAGCAACATTGCGACGAACGAGGGGCCTCTACCTCTCGGAACTGTCGTTTTAGGTACAGACCAGTCGATCTTCAAGTCCAGAACATCCAGCGGAACAAGCGCACTTTAAACGGTGCACGCGATTTGTCGCCTGCGGCACTCGGCGGAGAAGAGGAGAAAAAAGGCGCGGTTTCGTGCAGCCACGTTACTTCCAGCCTTGAGCATCCGTGCTCATGTTTCGTTTTCACGCAGTTTTTTTTTTTTTTTTTTTTTTTTTTTTTTTTATTAAAGATATACGTGATTACAGTAGAATATTGTTTGGGTTGTGCACTGCCAGCGCATTAAATCGACAATCAAAACAAAAATATTTTTTCGGGGGGTGTCAGTGTCTCTTTAAGCAATTGTAGCAATCTCTTTTGTGCGTTTTGAGGTTGTTCGACAAGTAATATTTTTCTTAGAAATCTAAATTATTATTTTGGGGTTTCTGGGACGTATACACTTATTTCAACATTTCAGTACCAATTTAAACGTTTGCAAGTATCTTGGTGTACTGCGGTTATGACCACTTGATAATTGCTCTATACATATACAATTACTGTATCATCTGCAACTTGTTTCCTTTATAGTTTTAATTGGATAACTTTAACTACATTTAAAATAAAGAGTAGTAGACCAAGTACTGTATCTTATTATAATCCTGGTTTAAATTCAATTACCTTGCTCTATTTACAGCTCAATCTTATCACTTGAATTTCGCCTGTTAGGTAATTTTGAAACAGGTCCTATCCCTCCCTAAGAATTCCAATTAAGTCATATCCCTTCCGACGAAAACCGGTACACTACCCTGGTAGCTTCGCCAGGGGAACGCTTAACTTGGCGCAGGCTTGGCGGTCCTAGGGACTTAAATTGGGCCTAATAAAATTTAGGTATAAAGCACTATTGCCGAAATAGTTTTTCTTGGCGTTTCAGTGCGTTTTCTCTGGCTCGCCATATAATTGCCACAGTGCCAGATTCAAGCCAAATTTCCCACGTACAAACCAAAAATCAACAGCGAAGTATAAATTAGTAACGTCTTAGACAGTTTATGCACAAAGTTTCCCTCATGAAAACCTAACAACCAGAAGGAAAGCCTGACTAGAGCACTTGTTACGCAATTTAGGCCCAATGGTGCTAGCTGACAGCCAATCTACCAGCATCATGTCCCTAATTAACCCAACACTTGTTTGGTAAATTAGAGACATGATACTGAGATTCCTCGCGGCAACCAGGACAAGCTGTCCGAGTGAGAAGTCAGGCCTGGGCACGAAAGGCTGAGATGACTGGAACTACCACTCCCAGAGCTTACAAAGTGACAAAAAAGAAAGGAAGAATACTACGGGGGAATTGCCAGTATCTTCTAGCAACATTAAAGGCCTTCAACGAAGAGTCACCTGCCGAAAGTGAAGTCGATGTCTACATAAACGGCGGGAGAAGTGACGTCAGTGATGACCGGAACGCCGAAATGTCTCCAGGCACCGCCAGCGCAACGCCTCAGGCGCCAAGAAGATCCACTCGAGCGAAGGCGGTTCACCGGCGTCTGGGCCACGGAACTAACTTTGAACAAAA